TCTGCTAAAGATAAAATTATGTAATATTGATAAATTTTATAGACATTTTTTTTTACTAAATTAATTTTTATAATGTGTTTGGATAATGATCATGTAATGGGTGATTGTTTTTATTTTCATTAAATTTGTTTCTATTTTTTTCAAAAGTCAAGTATGGCGACAACTTTGATATCATTATTAAACCAATCCCTTAAATCAAAAAATTCAAAACTAAAAATATTTTATATATTAAATATATCGATCACATATTAAAAGGCTAACAACCACCCATTACATAATTATCATCCAAACACATAATAAAAATTAATTTGGTAATAAATAAATAAATATCTAAAATATTTATTAATTTTACATAATTTTATCTTTGGTGGGTAGAAATTATTTTTAAAAATTCAAAAATATTTTTCTGACATTTATTTTTGTCAAATTAGCTTATATTTTATCAAATTGACGACTTTGTCCTTAAAATTGAGCAATGATATCTTCAATTATCTTTATTTGGAACAAGATTCAAAATTTATGATCAAATGTATCACAATTGAAAAGCCAAGAACTAAAGTAACATGAGTTCTAAATTATAGAAATTGTCAGTGTTATTCACCATAAATTCAATGCTGGCATAAATAAGGTGTCTAGAATACATATTTTCATTAGATTTAATGACTAAAATATATATTTTCTTGTCGATTTTACTTAGCGAAAACAAACAAATGGTTCATAGTGAAAACAAAACAAAAGTTTAGAATTTAAATTGATAAAATTAAAAATTTATAATTTATTTTGTTATAATAATTAAATTTTGATATGTTTTTTAATAATTTTTCGCGATATATTATTTTACGTGTCCTTTGTTTCGATTATGCATTAATTTTTTTTAAATTAAATATTATTCTATTTTCTTTGTGTTCTTGAATTAAAAATTTCAAAAACTGATAATATATAATTGAATGGATTCTAAGGCTTTGTTTGGAGTATGGGTTGGACTAATTTAGCCTATAAAAAGATAAAATAAGTTAAAAAATCAAAATCAGATAAAACATTGCATTTAAATTATGATCATTTCATTTTTTTCTCTTATAACCATCACATTCAAATAAAAAAAAAAAACAAAAAACAAAAATTATTCCAAACAAAATTTTTTAAACCAAATTAAAAAAATTAAAAAATCAAATTAAAAAAATTTATCCCAAACCAAACCTAGATTCACTACTATATGTTGGTCAAATGTATTCCTCCAGTGGGATAAAGTATTTGTCTTCCCATGAGTGTGAAACAACGTTGTGAAGCACGAGGGGAAGCGACAAAAGAAACATTTAAAATAAATAAATAATAACAATAAGAGTAAATTATATAAAATAATAACAAGAGTAAATTATATAATTTAATAACAATAAGAGTAAATTATATAATTTTCTTAAGTTTAATAAAATTGTTGAAATTCCCTATAATTTATTTTATCTTTTGTGATTAAAATAAGTAAAAAAACCTAGAGACCAACGTACCAAACGGAGGCAGAGTCGGCCAACAACCGCTTGAACTGTGACGTTGAATTTGCCTCTGTTTGGCAAGATGGTTTTCAGGCTTTTTTGGCTATTTTAGCCACAAAAAACAAAATAGGCTATTTTAGCCATAACAAACAAAACATCACATCCAACCCATAATCATTACATTCTTCTCTCACAAAAAAAGCCAAAAAAGCCAAAAAGCCAAAAAGCTCTTCCCAAACCAAGCTTTTTAGCCCAGGCTAAAATAGCCAAAAAAGCCAAAAAGCCAAAAAGCCAACTCACTTCCCAAACGGAGGCAAAATGAATTCAGCCTATGTTTGGGATGTTGGTTCATGTTATTTTAATGAAAAAAAATTAAAAAATAAAAAAATAAAATATGACTTGGGCAACAACCATTGTTGCACGGTCAATAGAACCTTTTTCAGGTTTCATTCTGACAATTCGAACTGTTCACTTTTTAAAAGGCATTACACAAAATGTGCTTGCAAAAGTTTAAGCTAATTAGATATTGTTATTCCTTTCATCAAGTCATGTTTGTATTTAGATTCATACTGAAAATTAATTTTACCATTCAATTTTTTTGATATAAATATGTCTTGATGAAAGGGATATCAATATTCGATTAACTTAAATTTTTTTAGGTATATTTTACTTGATGTCTTTTAAAAAGTGAACGGTTCCGATTGCCAAAATGAGATCCGAAAAAGCCTATTAGCTATGCAACAATGGCTGCTGCACACCATTCCAAACTTGGCAAAATGTCATACCAACCTACAATCAGTTATTTTTTTCTCATAAAAGTAAAAAAAGTCAAAAAATTTATCCCAAATGAATTTTTTTAATCTCAAATTAAAATAATCAAAAAGTCAACTCATATCCCAAACGAAAAGAAAGAGGAAACACAATATGATGCATAAAAATTGAGAAGAAGTTCCCATATGAGGGATCCTTTGGGATACAGACTAATTTTTGATTTTTAACTATTTTAGTCTGGGGTTAAAAGGTTTCGTTTAAATAGACTTTTTGACTTTTTTAATTTTTATGAAAAAAAATAATAATTATGAATTACATGTGACATTTTATCTTATTTAACTAAAATAATTTAGGAGTCGTTTGACAATGAATTTTTTAGTTGGCTTTTTAATTTTTTTTTACTTTTTTAACTTGAAATTTTTTTGTTTGGTTGGTTTTCTTGTTTGGCTTTTTGGCTTTGGAATGACAATTTCTTTTTGTTTTTTTTTTTTTTGTGATTTTTGTGAGTTTGTGATTTTTGTGACTTTTTTTTTTATTCTTTTATAATTTTTTAGCCCACGAAAAAGGCCAAACGAGCACTTATTTTATCCTATATAACTATTTTAGTCCAAACACTCCTCCCAAACGGGCCGAAGAGAATCCCCACCAATTTACTTAAATTTTACCCTAGAATATTATTTAAAAATTTATTTCTTATTTTAAGAATCATTTTTTCATTTACTTCCCCCCAATAGACTTCCTATTCTTTCTCTATTCTATTAACAAATTCCATATTTTTTTTTAATTTTATTAAACTACAATTTTTAATTATAAACTTTAAAAAATAAAAATCATAAATGTGTACTGCAGTCCCTAAACAAAGCAAAGCAAATATATATATATATATATATAAGGGAGCTACCGTGACTCTCTACAAATAGGGAGCCACCGTAGCAAAAATTAATTTAGGGAATTATTTAAGAGAGCTGATACAGGTGTATAGGGAACCATTTCCAGTTTAAAATAAGGCCAAATTTGGGAAGACTAAAAAAGTGCACTTTTTGTCTTTTTGGACTAAAAAATTGAGGTTGAAAATATGGATGTTTGGGTTAACTTTTTGACTTTTTATTGAAAAATGTGTAATAAAAAATTGTAAAAATTGATTTGTAAGGAAAAATTTGAATTGGGAGTTTTGCAGCCGTAATTGTTGACTTTTGGTGAATAGTATTAACTTTTTAACTTTTTGAGTAACTTTTCGACTTTTTGGCTTTTTTAGAAGTACCCAAACTTGGCCTTAGGAGGCTTAAAGATTTCGGTGGTATTAGATACACCAATTAATCTATTAACTAATATACCAACACTAGTTATAATATTATTACTAATCTCACTCTATAATCACATTACAAATATTGAAAACTTCTTAAATTATATCACATCATCAATTGATATACTAATTAATATATAACATTAGAACAATACTAAGGCCAAGTTTGGCATACACAAAATAATTCATCTTTTTGTCTTTTCATTTTTTTTTATCACATCGCCTCTCTACTTTTCTACACATCTTTTCGTAAAAAAACAAAAAATACACTTATTTAGGTCATTCCAAACAACTCTTAAGTATCATAAAAAAATATCATAAAATATTTGATAAATTTTTTTTATCCTTTAACTAATATGTAATATTTTCTTATATATATGTAATCTACTTTTTTTTTTGTGATTTTTGTGAGTTTGTGATTTTTGTGACTTTTTTTTTTATTCTTTTATAATTTTTTAGCCCACGAAAAAGGCCAAACGAGCACTTATTTTATCCTATATAACTATTTTAGTCCAAACACTCCTCCCAAACGGGCCGAAGAGAATCCCCACCAATTTACTTAAATTTTACCCTAAAATATTATTAAAAAATTTATTTCTTATTTTAAGAATCATTTTTTCATTTACTTTCCCTCAATAGACTTCCTATTCTTTCTCTATTCTATTAACAAACTCTATATTTTTTTTTATTTTATTAAACTACAATTTTTAATTATAAACTTTAAAAAATAAAAATCATGAATGTGTACTGCAGTCCCTAAACAAAGCAAAGCAAAAAATATATATATATATATATATATAAGGGAGCTACCGTGACTCTCTACAAATAGGGAGCTACTGTAGCAAAAATTAATTTAGGGAATTATTTAAGAGAGCTGATACAGGTGTATAGGGAACCATTTTCAGTTTAAAATAAGTAAGAAGGAGGCTTAAAGATTTCGGTGGTATTAGATACACCAATTAATCTATTAACTAATATACCAACACTAGTTATAATATTATTACTAATCCCACTCTATAATCACATTACAAATATTGAAAACTTCTTAAATTATATCACATCATCAATTGATATACTAATTAATATGTAACATTAGAATAATACTAAGGCCAAGTTTGGCATACACAAAATAATTCATCTTTTTGTCTTTTCATCTTTTTTTATCACATCACCTCTCTACTTTTCTACACATCTTTTCGTAAAAAAACAAAAACACACTTATTTAGGTCATCCCAAACAACCCTTAAGTATCATAAAAAAATATCATAAAATATTTGATAAAAATTTTTTATCCTTTAAATAATATGTAATATTTTCTTATATATGTAATCTAACGATAAAAATTTTTTCATCATAATTTCTATAATATTTATTTTTATACTACCTAACATTACTCGTAACATTATTCTTAAAATTCTGGTGGGGATGCTCTAAGCCTATACACCTCAACATTCCTAATACAGAAGAGCTTCTCTGTCAAAACACACATCTCTCTCTCACACACACAGATCCTTCTACACCTGCAAGTTCTTCTAACGCAGGGCAGGGGAGAAGCCTGTTCCTCGTGAGTACTCCTTCCTTCCTCACTTTCCCCACGCCACAAATACCCCCCCCCCCCCCCCCCCAAGGCCTAGGTTTCCCTGGTTGATTATGTGGTTTCTAGAGAGAGAGAAATCGAGAGAGAGAGAGAGAGATGATTTGGGAGGGAGGATCGGCCGCATCATCTTCATCATCAGCAGCATTGGCGGCGGCGGCGGAAGCGGAAGGAGGAGCAGAAGGAGGAGGGAGGAGGAAGCCGTCGTGGAGGGAGAGAGAGAACAACAGGAGGAGAGAGAGGAGGAGGAGAGCCCTAGCCTCCAAGATATACTCCGGATTGAGAGCTCAGGGCAATTACAACCTACCCAAGCACTGTGACAACAACGAGGTCTTGAAAGCTCTCTGCTCCGAAGCTGGTTGGACAGTCGAACCGGATGGCACCACCTATCGCAAGGTCTCTCTCTCTCTCTCTCTCTACATGTCTTTCTTCAATTTTTTCTGCTTGGTTTTATATAGATCTATAGTTCTTGACAGCGGGTTTTTCATATCTAGATTATAATTGTTGTTCTTTATCATCATCCATTGTTTGGGGGTTGTTAATTCTGGGAATTAATGAGTGCCATGCTGATATTCTTTTGGGGTTTTGTTGTTTTTTTAGCTGGGTAGAAGAATGTTTAAATGCTCTGTCATCATCTTCTTCTCTCTTCGATTTTGTTTTTATTCTTCCGAAATTGTTGCCATCAATTGGAACTAGCTCAGCTTAATTAGCAGCTTGTGATTTTTTTCAGTAGATTATTCAGTTCTTCAACACAATACGGGTGTTTTTTTTTCAAACTTTTCATTGTGTTGTTTTCTAGAACATGAAAGATGAAAGATGAAAGCTGAAAGCGAAAACGGAACTAAACAGCTGAAGCTTGAAGCACCAATGTTTTTCATTTTACTTTGTGATTGCTTATCATCTTCGTGTGTTTTGATCATACAAAAATAAAGTGACAAATTTTGAGGTCTGATTGATATAGGGTGGGAGGGATGATCATATCTTATTATGATCAACTTGTGCAGCTCAATCAATTGCATTTTCAACAATTGTTTCTATGTGTAATCATTGATGCGCCGTCTAAGTTCTAATAAATTATTGAAATTTGAATAATCCAGGGATGCAAACCGCCTCCATCTGAAATTGGAGGCACTTCAACCAATGTAACTCCATGCTCTTCCCAAAGACCTTTTCTGCCATCTTCTTTCTTTCCAAGCTCAATTACTTCATACCAACCGAGTCCTTCATCCTCTTCCTTCCCGAGCACATTTTCTTCTTACCAACCGAGTCCTTCATCCTCTTCCTTCCCAAGTACATTTTCTTCTTACCAACCGAGTCCTTCATCCTCTTCCTTCCCAAGCCCAATTCCTTCTTACCAGCCCAGTCCTTCATCCTCTTCCTTTCCCAGCCCATCCCGCCTTGATGGCAACCCATCATCTCATGTGCTTGCATATCTGCGCAATGCCATTCCTTCATCTCTCCCTCCTATCCGAATCTCAAACAGTGCCCCCGTAACCCCTCCACTCTCATCCCCAACCTCTAGACCTCCTAAGAAGAAAGCCACTTGGGAGTCCCTTGCTAAAGAATGTATGGCCTCCTTGAATGATTATCCTTTCTTTGCTGCTTCTGCCCCAGCAAGCCCAACTCGATGTCAGCGTTTTGCTCCAGTCACCATACCTGAATGCACCGAGTCTGAAACCTCCACTGTTGATTCAAACCATTGGATGAGCTTCCAAACTTTTGCACCAAGTTTGATCCCCAAATCCCCAACTTTCAATCTGGTCAGACCTATGGCTCCCCACTTGTCTCCCAATGATGCAACGACAGAGAAGGGGAAAGGCCCAGAATTTGAGTTTGAGACCATCCCGGTGAAGCCATGGGAAGGGGAGAGGATTCATGAGGTGGGATTGGATGATTTGGAACTCACTCTTGGAAGTGGGAAGACTCGAAATTAAGCTTCTACTAATGGATGGCTTGCATTGTAATTTGTGCATGCAACCATAACAGCATTGAGCTTCTGTCGCTGGTTTAAAATGCAGCCATTCTGTGGAAGTCTCTGATTAGTTGCTTGTAGAAATGCAGATCTTGAACCGAATTTGATTCTTGGGAGTAATTGCATTTTCATGTGCTGTTTTTACCTCTTAACCTTTTTTTTTTTTTTTTTGATCATTTGGTGATTACATGACATTGTTTAATTTGTTTGTGTTGTTTTCACAAGTATCACATGTAGCTATTGTGAGTTCCTTTCTTTTCATTGGGATCAAGGAGTTTTTTTCTCCTCTGTAGACTCTTGTGGGAAAACCTGAAGAAAATTGAATTATTTAAAGATAGTTTGTCTTGATAATAGATAATAGAAGCAACTTGTTGGATGGCAAAGTAAGGTCCATTATCTTGTTTTAGTTTCATTGAATTATTAGTCATAGAAGAGTGAGTCTTGTAATATGCTTCCCCTCTCCCCAAGAGAACAAGTGCTTTAGAAACTCTACTCAACTTTAATCATTTCCCTTTATTGCAGTTGCAACTTGCAAGTAGTTCATCCATTAGATGTTTCTGCCGTAGACTCGTGTTCCAAATCCCTCGTTACCACGATCATTTTTTCTAGTACTGAGCATGTGGTGAGGAGATAGTTTGGAACAGGGAGGACAAGGATTGCGTGTGGTAACATTTAAAATTAAATGAAAAAGCTAAGTATTTTGATGGAAATTCGGATTTGTTTTGCCACGAGACACACTTACATTAAATTCAGTTTACACAACTTTATTTTTGGTATCATTTTTTTCTTCTTGGTGCATATGCTATTATTGAAAAAGTCTAATTAGGCCATTCTTTGCTGTCTGGATGGAGGGGGTCTGGTCTTATCCAAAGTTCCAAACCTGAGCTTTCAATTTTGTTGTCATTTGGGACATGTGGGGGTTATGTCAACATGCTATGATTAGCTTGTTAAATTGCAATGCACCAATCATGAAGCAGAATGGAATTTATATTCCAAAAATAGTTGATCCGAAACCGCTTCAGCAATAAATATGATGCTAGCTGACCTCCTAGCCAACTTGGGAGTGGATCAAAATGAACATGTTTTTCTTGACAACCCTCCAGCTGAAGTTGCAACTTTTCTTATTGAGGACATGCCTGGAACTAGTTTTGTGAGGGACTAGCCCTCTCTTTGCTGTAATCTTAGCTCTTTTAACTCTTGTTCTTTGTTTTCATATGAATCTAAAAAAAATAAAATAAAATATGATGCTAGAATTGGATTTGACTCTTAAGATGTAAACCATGAAACCTATTCCAAGATGCAAGCAATTGCCTAGCATTCCAATCTCCATGTTTCCTATCTCATCGAGCCATAAAATATCTTAATACTTGTATTTTTAATTTATGTATTAATATATTTATAACGTAATTATTACACCACAGATCAATTAACTAATGAACCCTTAATCCGGTCCATTTTTCTGTTTAAAAATAATTCAAAACCATTATCACAAGTCTTAAATCAATCACTAGCATCAGCATGGCAGAGTTTCAAATAATATCATTTTTTTTTGGCTACGTACTAAAAATAAAAATCAGAATTTTATCCAAAATTAAAATGTACGATTTAGATTTACTTTAAGTGAGACTTTTATTACATCGAATTTAAATCACCACCTCACACTGGTTTTGATGTTGAAATTCTGATAAAACATTCTGAGTAAATAAAATTACCTAGGCAAAAATATTCGAATTATGGTCAAACAAAGCACTTAGACCCGTTTGTTTGGGGTTATAGGGAGGGAATTGAGATTATTAATCCCTTGGTATTACTAATGAGGTGTTTGTTTTGAGAGATGGGGAGGAGACTATTAGTCCCTTAGTATTAGTAGTTTCTTTGGAAAGGGGATTGGTAAGGAGGAGGTATTAGAAAAAGGCATTGGCTCTTGTCCAGTCCCTAATCGAACTGGACCGTGTTGTTGGGCCTGTGGAGGCCTACCACGGGTCCCGTTTTGATAATCTGAACCGTTTGGTATGTAGAACTCGTCGAGTACTATATGCTTGTAAAAAATCACGTTGATCGGATATTGATAGCTATGTGATCAAAACAAATTTTTGTCAACCATTAATTTATTTACCGTCCATTTTTTTTTTATACAAAACTGATTTGATCACATAGCTACTGATATCTGATCAACGTGATTTTTTACAGGCTTATAGTACTCGACGTGTTCTACACATTGAACGGTTCATATTATCAAAACGGGACCCGTGGTGGACCTCCACGGGCCCAACAGTACGGTCCAGTCCGATTAAGAACTGAACAGAAGCCATGCCCTTAGAAAAATAGTGAGTGAATTAGAAATTTTTTTATTTTTTCTATTTTTTATATATTGGGAATTTTTTTTAAATATAATGTTTAATTTTTTATATTTTTTTATTTGTTTTATTATTCTATATAAAAATAATTTAACAATTCCTCACTATTAATCCCTTCACTAACAATCCCCTTACTATTAATCCCCTCACTATCAATCCCCTCCATTCTATCTCCCAAAACAAACGTGCCCGGTGTGTTTGTTTTGAAGGATTACGGGGTGCGATTGGACTATTAGTCCGGTGGGACTAATAGTCCATTGTTTGTTTCATTTTTTTTGTTCCGAACTAATAGTTCTCTTGGATTATTAGTCCAACTAATATGGGACTATCCTATCCCATGGGGGGAGGTGAGATAGAAACCATGAGATTAGTATTCCATGGGATTATTTTGTGAAATGTCTATTTTACCTTCCATGCTATTACTTAGCAAACAATTAGAAAAGAATAAAATAGTCTTTTGAACATTTATAAATTATTTTTTTAGTGTTGTTAATTTAAAATTATATATTAAATAAAAATTTTTAATTATAAATTATGGCCTTACAAATTAAATTTTTTTAGTGTTGTTAAAAGATTAAATTTAAATATTAAATTAAATTATTTTTTTAGTGTTGTTAATTTAAAATTATATATTAAATAAAAAATTATAAATTAAATTTATTTAAAAATAATAAATTATAAATTATGGCCTTATAAATTAAATTTTTTTAGTGTTGTTGAAAATTTAATTTATATATTAAATAAAATTATTTTTTATTGTCGTTAATTTAAAATTTTATATTAAATAAAAAATATAAATTATAAATTATAAATTTAATTTAATTGAAAATAATAAATTAAAATAATTAAAATATTGTGCAAAAAATAAAATAAAATAAATTTTTATTTAATCTAGTTAAAAATAATTAAAATATTAAAGTTATGTTTAATATTGTTATTACTTAGTAAATAATTGAAAATTATAAAATAGTCATTTGACCATTTATCATTCTCCATAATATCCCAAACAAATATTAGATAACTAAAAATAGTTCAATCGAGACATCTAATCCCATGACTAAACAATCATAGGATACAAATTTAGTTCAACCAAATAGTCCCGGGACAATATATCATAGGACTAATAGTTTGATAGATTACAATTTTCTTAATCTAATCCGTCTAATCAAACGCAACCTTAAAGAAAACTAGTGATGGTAATCTGAAAATGACTGGTGACTGAGGAGAATATGGCATCAACAGCAATCATGTTGGCAATTTGCAACCAATTCGGAACCACTAACGGAAGAACAAGGTGCTCTTTCTTCACTGTTGAAGAAGAAATAAAGTATACACTTGTCTTGTCATGTTTAAAAATAATAAAATTATCACTTATTTAAGGAAAATGTCTCGTAACTCAAATTTTGTGGCTCAAAAGTGACTCAAATGGCCAAAAAAATGTCGTTTTGACCATTTTTATATTGTTCTATACTCAAAACGACGTCGTTTTAGCCATTTGAGCCACTTTTGAGCTACGTAGCATTGTCGCTTATTTAATTGTTCAAATTTAGAAATATGATAATAATTAACCATTTAGGCCTTGTTTGGGGTACCCTATTTTAGTCTATCTTTTTTATTTTTTTTAGGTCACATCAATTAATATTTTCTCTCTACGTTTCTACACATCTTTTTACAAAAAGTTAAAAAAATACACTTATTTAGAATATCTCAAACCATACTTTAATATGATATCGGAATAAATAATAGATTCTGTGTTAGAATCTGACAATATAAGACCATCTCTAACGGTAAATCAAATTTATCATCAGATTTAAATTTAGTAAAAAAATATTACTTGTATGGCTCCAACAATTTCACCAAACGGATATCAAATTGAGAATGTACCAAAAGTTTCATCAAAATGAGAAGTGAAACAGATTTCATCACACTGTGTATTTACGTTGAAAGTGGGTCCATCGGACAACCGGCCGGAAGTCCGGCCGAATGTTCCACCGGATGGTCCCACCAGTCGTCCCTGCTTCCAAAATCTTCCAACTCTGCAAATCCCACTCGTTTTCTCAAGCAGTGAAACTCCTAAACTCTGTTACCCACCTGCAGATAATTTTTTCACATTTACATTCTAATCAATAAAAATTGCCCATCGATATATGCACACGTCACGTTGAAAACCACATCAGAAAAATGTATCCAATTCAATAGGGTATATTGGTGCTGTTTGGTATAGCTGTTAAAACAGATTATAGATTATACCTTAACAGATTATAGATTATGACTTTAATCAAAAGTTGTTAATCTATTTGGTATAACAGTTGGATTATAGATTTAAGTTGCTGAATAGTGTTTGTTAAATAAGCTGTGAAGTAACTTTTTCAATTAACTTTTATTTTTTATTATTCACTATTTGTCTACATTTCTCATAAAAAATAATAATAATATTCTATAGTCTATTTGAGTCTTTTTCTATTTTTAAAAAAATAAAAAATAAAAAAAAATCTAAGAGTATAATCGTGAATTAACATGTCCACAGCAGAAGCTGATAATCAGAAGCAAGGGGTGAGCAGCTTCTCAGAATCAGCTTTTTTGACTTAAAATAAATTGTTAGAATCAGAAACTGTTTGAAATAAGTTTAACCAAACAGTCCAAAATAACTTTTTAAAAACCAGAAGCCATAAGTTGGCTCAAAAAAACCCCACCAAACACCCCTATTATCAGCTTCTCCTTATAGAAAACTCATAAAACCAGTATAAACAATGAAACACTATCAGTGCTAAAAGACTATCATTTAACTTTGGGACAAAACGCTATCATTGTTGAGGCGGTCTCATCTTTCTCAGAGACATCCCCTTTTAAATGAAATCAATCAAAACCCCAATACTCAACAAATAAATCACATAAAAAATTCAGTTCAAACCCACCAAAGAAAAAAGGGATTTCGAGCTCAAATTCAGCTCTTGAACCCATATTGGGAGAAAAGTCAAATGAAGATGAAAAAGATATAGAAGAGTGAGCTTGAAAGTGGAAATCAG